ACAGCATCGTTGGTGTGGGACCCTTGGATCTCTACACCCTTAACTACCAGTGGTAGGTAGTGTTTGGTGGACTCTGCCTGCTCTAGCTCACAGAGGAGGCTGTCTTGTTGAGTCAGAGTTTGGATCACTTGGGTTTCTTTGGTTTCACATGGTGTCAGAGGAGTACTCACCGGGCTCGTGTCCTCGGCTGAGGAGTCCTTTGTGCCTTCCGCGGTACCTGCTGTTGGGCAGTCTGTGTCACACTCCGGAGGCGTATCGATTGGCAGTGGGTTGCTCACTGTTGTCCACATTGTTTGATCACCATAATCTATAATCGCGCCGAAGCGATTTATAAAATCCTGGCCAACCAAAAATGGGAATGAGTCAACATGAGTCACGTGTACCGGGTGGTACAGTGTCATATTGCCAATCTGCATGTGAACCATTGCTATAGCTGTCAGGGTTGTTTTCATTTCTGAGAGACCCTGCATTTCTATAGCACATTCAGAGAGAGGTATTATCCTGTTAACACTGGCAGCGGCCGTCCTCAGCTCCTCGAACAGTTTAGCTGACATGATTGTTATGTCTGCCCCACCGTCCAAGAGTGCTTCGTGTGTGAGGACACCTTCGAGTGTTACTGACAGGTACGCCTTTTTGGCGACCCCCTTTCTGATAAAGTTACACAGAAACCTCTTGGGTTTTTTCTGACGCTTTTTCACGCGTTCAGCCTTATCTGTGCAATTTTGGTTTGCCTGAACTGTCAGCACAGCAGAAGCTGTTTCTGAGTGTTCAGCCTGCGATGACTCGTCATCGTTCGTGTGTGTGTTTACCCCCCCTTCTTCCGATGAGGGGTTGTTTGAGGCAACAACAGCAACGTCTTGGTGTGTTCCACCGACATCTGTTATGTTGTCATTCGCGCCCTCAGATGTAATAGGAATTACATTACTGCAAAGTGCTCCTGGTTGGGTTCCCGTGTCAGTGTGTTTCAAAGTTTCTAACAACCTGCGTAGTTTTTCTGTCTCTTCCGAGCTCAGAGGTGTAGGGCCTTGTTTCTGGAACTTTTGTGATTTTTTCGCCTCGGTTCGTTTCATCCGAGGTGGGGGACGGTCAGGTACGTCTTGCGGGGTTTCCTTTACGTACTGCCCCTGCTGATATGGTTTCTCATATCGTTGCGTCCTGCGCCCACCCCGTTTTCGATAATCACTGTCGTCCTCTGAAAGAGGAGCCTTCTTGTCCCAGCGTGCACCTTCAGGACGCGGTTTGTTAGCTTGAACAGACTGTTTTCTCTCTTTCTTCTTAGGAGGAGGCGGCGAAGCACGTCGTCCTTCTAGTTCAAGAGGGAGGGGTTTAACCTTTACACTAGGAAACACTTCTATGGGCGTCTTAGCATGAGAACATGCTTCAAACACATTCACAGCACACTGCTTAATCTCACTGATGGATTTTTCTCTGAAATTTGCCATCATCTGTACTGATTTTTTAAAATCAGAGTGGAGATTTTTGCTGAAAACAAACTTAAAACCATCATCTTCTTCCATTCCGGTCTCATTTCTGTTACCAAAATAAGCTTGGAAGATTCTTTTGTAATAAACTTTTGGATGTTCATTTTTACCCTGCATGACCTTGTCTGCAGCTGGAAAACCAGCAGGTCCCGTGCAGGGGTCGTACTCTCTGATCAAAGCTTCACACAGAAGGTTGTAATCCCTCTTCGTTGCATCAGGTAGACGTTCGATGAAGGTGAACACCTCTCTGTCTGAAGTGAGCCGCATCAGACTTATCTTATCGTCTACCGTAGCATTAGGATAAGACCTCAATCTGAACTCCAGATCTTTGAGATACGCTTTTGTTCCTGCTGACCCCATAGGCCCGGGAACAAAGCGTTGTACATATTTTGAGATTTTCTGCAAATCATCCATTGAAGGAGACTGTATCACCGGTCTAACTTGTGTGACTGGTGGTGCAGACTGGTCAAGGCCTGCCCCTACCGCCCATGGTGGGGGCGGGGGAGGCTGATAAGGGTTGGTAGGAGGAGGTGCATATTGGTGCAGACCTGTCCCCACCCTCCGAGACGGGGGTGGAGGGGACTGCATGGTGTGTGGAGGAAGAGGTGCATACCGGTGCAGGTCTAACCCCACCGCCCGAGATGGGGGTGGAGGTGACTGCCTGGTGTCAGGAGGAAGAGGTGCATACCGGTGCAGGTCGAACCCCACCGCCCGAGATGGGGGTGGAGGTGACTGCCTGGTGTCAGGAGGAAGAGGTGCAAGTGGGTGCAGACCCGTCCTTATCCCCCGGGTTGGGGGTGTTGAAACGGGGCTAAGGGGAGGAGGTGCAACAGCATCTGTCTGGGGCGGTTGTAGCTGACCCCGTTCGATTCTCGGATCAGCTTGCTCCATTACAGAAATCCATTCTGTAGCTATAGCTAAATTCTCCTCACAAGCTGCCAGACGCTCATTTGTTGACTGATTTTTACCTTGTAAAGTCAGCCAACTCCGGGTTATTAACCCCTTGTCTGCCTTGCAATCGGCCAGCTCCCTTAAAGCGGTTTGCAACTGTGCTTGTAACATATCGTTATCTGCACACGCGTCTTGGTACGCTCGTTCCTTATCCGCAATCTTCTCCTCATATGATCGAGCCTGTTCTGACAGCTCTTTCTTTGAGAGGTCCTTATCAGTTTGAATCTTTTGTTTCAGCAACTCAGATTCATTTATCAATTTGGCACATTCCTCTTCATGTGATTGAGCCTGTTCTGACAGCTCTTTCCTTGAGAGGTCTTTATCAGCCTCAATTTGTTGCTTCAGCAACTCAGATTCAATCATCAATTCGTCACACCTCTCTTTTTCAGACGTATATCCGTTGAACAGCACGACCTTTTCTCCCACCATACGGTCTAATTCCGCCTTCAGAAGCAGAGAGATTTTTGCTAACCGTACGCGGCTTGATTTTGTGTCCTCCTTCACTGTAGCTGCTGTTGATAAACTCTGCAGCTCCTCACGTCTTTGATCGTCATCAAGGTCTTGCAATTCCTCCAAATTTTTGCCAATAATTGAATTTGTTAAAATGTGTAAGGCTGTCTGGACCGCATCCTCGGATTGTACGGGGTCAGTGTTTTCCTCTTCGTCCGCCATTATCTGCTATTTAGAAATTAAATAGTAGATGTAAATGTTTAGGTGGTAACAGAAAATCAGAAAAATCTCTTTTTCTTGATAAGTTTACCCTTATGTAGTGATTTATCAATTAAACGTGCGTTATCTTCTAGCAAAATGAGTAAACTATTCAACTCTGTGAATATTTGTAACTGTATCTTATTTAAAAGTTTCTAAATTTTTATTATGCACCTGTTTCTCAAGGATTTATCAGTGAATAAAAATTTGTTTGGTAAATGCTCTATGCATAAATACCTTCATAACTTTTAAAACGCAAGATAACAGTGCTTATTCAGCTTTGAGGAAGTTTGTTAGCTCAAAAATTGCCTTACAGAAAAATAAAACGTTTAATTTCACTCTTTACCTAAAAACGAAGTGAAACCTGTGATCCCACGTCTTCTCCACAAGATGTCAGTACAACCTCAACAACTTCAACTCCGACACTGTTTGTGTTGTCCACTAGGGGTGCTATAACTTCCTGTGGCGTCCGGTCGTTAGCTTGTTAGCTAAAAATTAGCATCGGCTAGACTCGGTGAAAACCAAGACTTCTGAACGGAAATTTTACACAAACGGGGCAAAATTTTTTGCAATCAGACCTTATATCATGAAACATGAGTTTTGTGGGACAATATTGCAGCTGTATTTAGTGACTTTAAGCACGGTAAAGCTCATTTCCGACTTGGGGGAAGTGACGTGACACGTCATTCATCCGGTCGATAGCTTGTTAGCTTAAAATTTAGCATCGCTAGCGTAGTTCAAAAGCATCATTTTATGACGGTCTTTAAACTCCAACGTGGCGAAATTTCAGCGAATATGCTATGAAGAATTTAAACAGCGTTTCAGAACACAGCTTTAATGCGCTTTCCAGCGTTAAAAAGCAGATTTTATTCCCTATGAAAACGAGTCTTCATTTCCGGGTGACGTGATTGACACTACCCTCATCCAATTGGAACGTTACACACGGTCTTATTCAACCAATGACGTAGCGTAGGGTTGAGCGGAAGTTACGTAGGCACGTATTCAACCTTCTCAGCAAATCAGAGCGCTACGCAACAGCAATATTCAGCCAACCACGAAGCGTTAGCAACAGCCAGCATGCTAGATTCAGCCTGAAACTTTTTCATCACTTATCGTCTTTTAAACCATCAAAATGCACTTTTTCTGTTAAAAATTGTAACGAATCAACTCCTAACTGTGTTCTGAGGCGGCGCTCAGCTTTTAAAACGTTTATCCATCTAATCAAAATACTCGTTCAAACTCAACAGAA